ACACCCTGTGAGGTAGGTGGGGCTGAGAGAACTGCCCTTGAGAGAATAGCTCTGAGAGAACTGTGACTGACCCAAGGTCACACCAGCAGCTGCATGTGGAGGAGTCTTCCCAGTTTAGAGTCCGCCACTCTTAACCACTACACCAAACTGGCTCTCTCAGTGTACCCCACTCAGGTCCCTTCCCACCCCAGCCTCCACCTCCAAAACTGCAGGACTCTTCAACCTGGATCCAACAGCCCTACCCCTCCATCCCTCACCGGTGGCCAGGGGGGGACCTGGCAGCCCTTGCATCTGTGGGCACCATTTCTGCCTGCTCCCACTCTTCTCTCCGCCCACCTTTTCATGTCCCTGTGTGGTTGCTGCCCAGCAGGGGGTAGGAGAGTGGAGAGAAAGACTCCACCGTCCAACCTTATTTGCTGTAAGCAAGACTTCTCTTATTAGACCACCCCAGGGCATCTGCCAACATGGCTTGTGTGGAGAAACAGCCCAAGACTGCGGAAGGTTTTTCATGTCAAGGATCTTCCATGTGGGCCTTCTGCCCTGTTTTTTTGACTTGGGTGACTAATGAGAAGATGTTCAGCACGTTGTGTTCCCTTATCATGCCTTGTTTGCACCATGTCTTGCCCCAGGTTCCCTCGGCTTCCTTTTCTGGCCAGTGTTTGTGTAATGGGTTTGGCCTCGTAAATCAACGAAGCCATTTGGTTTGAGCCTCTCGGCAGGGAAGAAAAACAGATTGTCAGGTTCAGCTGAAGCTGCCTCGTCCCCTTCTCAGGAGGAGGACTCCTTCCCCCCAGGTGGAGGGTTAGGGAGGTCAGAGGTCACCGGGAAAGCAAGCACCGACCCTTTTGCTCAACTCTTCTGGGCTTCCAACCACAACTTTTACTGGGCCCCTGGCCTGCGAGGGGTGGCCTGCCGGGCACATACAGTTTTGTTATGCCTGCAGAATCAGGACCCCTGCCTCTATAAAGAAGATTTTATTTCCAAATAGACAGGGAACCAAATGAGAAACAACGGGGTTGCAGCAGTTTAGGGTGGCCAATGTTGATTTAAAAAGGGGGGAGGGATAGAGTCAGGCCAGGCTGTGGAGGCACGGTAGCACCAGGGAAATGAGGGCTGGGGGAATCTGGTGAGTTATGGGTCAGGACTGAAGCCTGGATTTACTGGCTTTAGATGTCACATTTTTTTTTAGGATGGACAAACAGATATTGTAAGATGTAAGCCTATGCTCACTGACCAGGGTGTAGCTCTAATGGACATCGAGTTAATTCTGAGTAGACATGCGTAGAATTTCACTGCCTGTGTGGTCAGTTCACATTGGCTGCTGTGGAAACCAGCATGGCAAAACAGAATGAATGGGTCTGATTTACTTATTACAATATTTATACCCTACTCTCCCCTTGCCCCTTACGATTCCAAGAATACAAACAAATAAAAGACACCAAAGCCCACACTGAACCCCCTCCCCAAGAATGTGCCTGCAACAGAAACCTGTTAAAAGTCCTTACAAATAACATGACCTTATAGAGCCTCCTCAAACCTTCTAAAGAAGGTGCCCCCTCCCTTTCTCTGGGAGTCAATTTCATGAAGCAAGGGCCACAATGGAGAAAGAACCGGCTGTAGCAGATGCCAAGCGGGCCACCTTGAGCCGTGGAAATTGGGGGGGGGGGGAACGGGACACCCAGAAGGTTGAAAGTTAGGGTGGCCAAACAGCATCCATTTTGATTGAATACAGTTTCTCATGTGAGCAATGGTGCAAAGAAGAAGAAGAAGAGGAGGAGGAGGAGGAGATTGGATTTATTCCCCGCCCTTCACTACCCAAGGGAGTCTCAGAGTGGCTTACAAACTCCTTTCCCTCCCCCTCCCCACAGCAGACACCCTGTGAGGTGGGTGGGGCTGAGAGAACCCTGACAGAAACTGCTCTTTTTCAAGGACAGCTGTTATCAGAACTATGGCTTGCCCAAGGTCACCCAGCAGGTGCAAGTGGAGGAGTGGGGAATCAAGCCCGGTTCTCCCAGATTAGAGTCCGTGCACTTAACCCCTACACCAAACTGTTGGAGTGCTACAATATAGACAACTAGGGATGTCACCCTCCTAGTGGGACCTGGGGATCCCCTGGAATTACAGCTCATCTTCAGATGACAGAGATCAGTTCCTCTGAGGAGAACGACTGCTTTGGGGGGTGGACTCTATGGCACTGAACCCCACTGGGCTCCCAGTCCTCCCCAGGCTCCATCTCCCAAACTCGAGGAGTTTCTCAAACTGGATCTGGTAATCCTACCCCCCCACCCAATCCCCCACCAGTAGCTATCTTGGGGAGAAGATTAAAAAAAAAAATGGGTGGTAAGTGAACAGCTACAGCAGTTGGGCCTGTTGGATATGTTTATATAAGTTATACTTATGTATTTATATCCCACCTTTCTCCCCACTGGGGACCTTGTGCAGCTGACATCATGTTAGAAATGAAGGACTTTGTGCTGTCTCTTAGCCTCAGACTTCAGAGGGGGTCTATAAGAGAGTCAAAGAGACCAGGAGACCAGGACACTGTTCTATCCTTCCCTTTACTCTCTGATACGATCTCTTTGATGTGTTGATTGCTAGTCTTAGGGAAACTTCCTTCCTTCCAGTCTGACACCTTCTCTCCACACTATGCTAGTCTTCTCCATCTTGGCACCATGAGGGCAGGACATGCTTCCTGCATCTCTATCCATCCTAGCTAGTTAGACTGGATTAGAATCCTATCTCTCCACTATGCTGTCTAGAATGGAGTTCCTTATAATAAAGGATTCATATTAGTTTTGCAAAGAGGCTCTGTGTGTAACTTTGTTTCTTGCCTGCACACACTACCCAGATAAGCTCTGCTGCGTTACGAGCCTTGCGCACTCAGCTAACCCCCAAATAATCCTTCGCATCATTCCCCTCTTCTCCATTTGATCCTTGCAACTACCCTGTGAGGAAGGTTAGTCTGAGAGAGTGTGATTGACCCAAGTTCACCCAGCATGGTCCCATAGCAGAGTGGGGATTTGAACCTGGATAGACATTTTAACCACTACACTGCACTGGGATTTGAACCTGGGTCTCCCAGATCCTGATCAGACATTTTAACCACTACACTGCACTGGCTGGTCCTGTATACATGCAGTCATAAGAACAAAAGAACATAAGAGATGCCAATGTTGGATCAGGCCAAAGGCCCATCCAGTCCAACACTCTGTATCACACAGTGGCCAGAAATACCAGTGCCATCAGGAAGTCCACCAGTGGGGCCAGGACATTAGAAGCCCTCCCACGGTTGACCCCCCCAAGCACCAAGATGACAGAGCATCACCTGCCCCAGAGTCCCTATCTATACCTTGTGGCTAATAGCCACTGATGGATCTCTGCTCCATATGCTTATCTAATTCCCTCTTGAAGCCGTCCATGCTTGTAGCCGCCACCACTTCCTGTGGCAGTGAATTCCAAGTGTTAATCACTCTTTGGGTGAAGAAGTACTTCCTTTTATCCATTCTAACCCGACCGCTCAGCAATTTCATGGAGTGCCCACGAGTTCTTGTATTGTGAGAAAGGGAGAAAAGTACCTCTTTCTCTCCCTGCTCTTTCCCATGCATAATCTTATAAACATCAATCATGTCACCCCTCAGTCGTCATTTCTCCAAGCTAAAGAGCCCTAAGAGCCTTAACCTTTCCTCAGTCAAGTCGCAGCTGACTTAGACTTTCAAGACAAGAGACATTCAGAGGTGGTTTGCCATTGCCTGCCTCCATGTCATGACCCTGGTATTCCTTGGTGGTCTCCCATCCAAATATTAGCCAGGGCCGACCCTGCTTAGCTTCCAAGATCTGACAAGGTCAGGCTAGCCTGGGCAATGCAGGTCAGGGCATGTATACATTATATAGTTTCCGCTTTAACAGGTTGTTCTTTCTAACTATTGATCCAATCTGCTTTCCTAGACTTTCACACCCTACCTTATCTGTTTTCAATCCTTTGGAATCAAAGGTGCTCATTCTCACCGGTCAGTGGATTCAGGCAGGAAAATCTAACAAGTTTCCCCCCCAAAGGTGAAAGCTCTGTCTACTGCTCTCATGGAACTTGCATGCAAGGGGAAGCATTTCAAAGCATCTCTGGAAAATAAATTAAAACAACAAACAAAAAGCCCCCAAATCCCCCTGGTCATAAAAATCCACCCACCAGGAAACACACACCTTTAACCAAAAGACTCAATGTTCTGTGGCACTTTGGAGACTTTACTGGTTTGTGGAGCAACTCAGATTTCAATATGATACTTTTGCAGTGGTTCCTTTTCACTCTTTGCATAAACTTCAGGCTTCCAAGAGAGTCTTTACATTTTAAACATCTCTAGTTCCTCACCACTGACACACACGCTCTTACCTTCTCCCCCTTGAAGCCCCTTTGGCTGGCTTCTGGATCTGGGGCAGAATTTCCTTTTTTCCAAATCCAAAGGCTTGTGTATTTTTTTTTATTGCACAATAAAAATAACTTCAGAGTGCGAGAAGGAAACCTTAAACCTGGGCCTTTTGTGTGTGTGTGTGTGTGTAAGTTTCTCTCCCCCCCTTTTAAAAAAAGTACAGACAATGTTTCTTTAAAAGCCTCCATCTGCAGTTCCCATTAGATGCGCCTCTAAGGTTTCGAGTGATTAATCGTTGTATGTTTGGCTCGGGTCGGAGGGGCTGTGCGTGCGGGTTAAGCCCTCCTTCCCCGCTGCTCTCTCACATTTCTCTTCCTCAGCTTGTCACTCACACTCCAGCGAAAGATCGCAAAAGTGTTTTTCGGGACTTCAGGGCTTCACAGCCAGAAGGCTGCAGGCTCCGGTAGCAACAGATGTGAGTTGCCTCTGCTGAAGTTTATGGAGAATCCGCCCGGTCCAGCTACCGACAAGCCTATGACAGAGAGCAGGCATCAAGCTCTTTGGAGAAGGAACTTCTGCAGAACTTCGCCCTTGGATTTCCCGGTTGACCCCATTGACAGGAAGAGCATCCTGGAGTAGATGGATCCACCTGCCAGCAGCTGTATGAGAAGCGCCCACTCGACTAGCACCACGTTCTGGGAATGCCTGCGGAGCCACCACCCGGAGGCCGGGACAGCCACTGGGCCGCACCACTACCCACAAGCCCCCTTTTCCTTCCACCCCAAACCAGACTTCGGTGCTTATGTGGACTTTTCCACCTCCTGCCTGGCTGCTGCCCCCCAAAGCCTTCCCCGGGAGGAGCGAGCTTTTGATGAGCATCACCCCGCTTTCCAGCATCCCGCCACCTGGCACTTCACCGCATCCGAGGGCAGGCGGCGGCTCCCTGCTGTTTTTTTGGGGTGGGGAGAACCAGAGAACGGCAGCCCCCACTTGGTGGATTCTGCTGTGGGTACCAGCGAAGATTATGGCCTGGTGAGGAATACTTCAAGGGACGCGGAGAAGAAATCCTGCAGGAGGAAAAAGGGCAATGCAGGTAAGTGGAGCTTAGTAGAGCTCTCAGACTCACTGTTTTGAGGGTGACTAGCAGTGTTCACTCTAAGCTGAGTTAGTGTGAGCTAGCTCACAGTTTTTTAGCCTCCGGCTCACACATTTTTGTCTCAGCTCAGGAAGGAGGGCTCCAGAGCAAACAAATTTATGCAGTAGCCAAATTGCTCGCTCACAACTTTAATGCAAGTAGCTCACAAAGTAGAATTTTTACTCACAAGACTCCACAGCTTAGAGGGAACATTGGTGACTAGGGTGGCTGAAGGTAGTGGCGTAGTGGCTGATGTCTTGGACTAGGAGCTGGGAGGCCTGGGTTCGAATCCCCACTCTTCCATGGGACCTTGCTGGGTCACCTCGGGCCAGTCACACACTCTCAGTGTAACCTACCTCGCAGGGTTGTTGTGAGGGTAAAATGCAGGTGAGGAGAACAATATAAGCCGCTGTGGGTCCCCACTGGGGTGAAAGGCGGGGTATAAATGAAGTAAAACAAAATCTGAACAAACGAATTTAAAAGTCACGGTATTCTGGGAACTGTGGTTATACGAAAGAGATTCTACCACAATCAAATATTGCAGAAATGGGGATGGGTCTCTTTAGGAGAGCTGCAACGTATGCTTTGGAATAAGGGCCTTTGGCATTGCAGATGGTATTGCGCATTATGGAGTTGATTCATTTACCATTGCATACAAAAATCTAAGACATAAAAATAACAACTAGCTTGCAAACGTCCCTTTGAACGAAGTGGAGGCAGCAAGGGATGCTGGTGTTTCGAGTTAGTTATGATAGGGACACCCCTGACGCCATTCGTAGGTGCGATGGTCGTCAGTTCATGGTAGGTCCATATAGGGTAGGCTGGTTGCAAACCATAGATGCTGAGTTTCCATTAACTGTCAATACAATCTCAGCTTCCCCCAATCAGTAACAACAGTAACAGAACAATCCATTCCTCCATCAGTTCCATTGCTTACCCCCTCCTCTTGTGGGACAGGACCGGAGTCCTGGTTCCTAAGGGAGGGATCAGAGTGGGGCAGGCAAACGGAAGAAGAACGAGGAAGGGGAAATTGTTGTTTCATCACCACCCCCAGCCTTGTGAGTTTTAAAGGGAAATCATCTCTTCCAGCCACTTTAACTGTATCATGCACACCTGACAGTTATTTATTTTTTTCCCCCAATTTATACCCCGGCCGCCCCACCAAGGCAGGCTCAGGGCGGCTTAGTAAAGGTAAAGGTTCCCTTGCTCGAAAGCCAGTCGAGTCCGACTCTAGGGTTGCGGTGCTCATCTCCGTTTCAAAGCCGAAGAGCCAGCGCTGTCCGAAGACTTTTCCGTGGTCATGTGGCCGGCATGACTAAACACCAAGGCAAACGGAACGCTGTTACCTTCCCACAATTTCTTGCTTTCGAACTGCTAGGTTGGCAGGAGCTGGAACTAGAGACAGGAGCTCACTCCGTCATGCGGCAAGTCAGGTCTCGAACTGCTTTGGGCGGCTTACATAAAAGTAAATTCATAAATAACAATTAAATGACCATAAAAAACATCTAAAAACAGTTCCTTATAAAACAGTGCAGTATCATAAAGTGCTAGCAGTGTTGTTTCATAGTGATGGCGTTACCATATGAGCGCACCCAATAGATTATCTAGATGTGCAGCTCACTGATCTTTCCCAGATATAATCGGCTGTCAATAGCAAACCAAGGGCCAGGGCTCTGTAAATTCCAGTTGTTGTTGATAATGGTGGCGGCTCCTAATTGAAGGCCTGGTGGAAGATCTCCATCTTGCGGGCCCTGCAGAACTTTAAATGGTCCCACAGGGCCCTGATCTCTTCCGGGAGCTCATTCCACCGGTATGGAGCCACCACCGAAAAAGCCCTGGCCCTGGTTGCAGCCAGTCTGGCATCCTAGGGGCCCGGGAGGGCCGGTCTGTTTTGTGACCCTGATCGTAGTTAAATCTGACTCAAAGCTACTCTTGTATGTGGAAACTCTACCCTAACTCGAGATGTGTTTAGGAATGGTCACTCCACAGTTAGAAGAGGAGACATTCTTTTCTGTTTCATATGTGCCAGGGGTGATGTAAATAGGGTATGGAACCGAGTCTAGGCAAACGCCAGCTGAAATTAAAACCTGGATCTTTTTTGGCACAGCGAATTTTATTAGGGGTGGTTGAGACTCTTCCAATCTGTATCCTCATCAGATATATAAGAAACACTGCTGCTTCCACACAGGAGCAATTCCCTGTTTTGCTCTCATTGCTGCCAGGCCCAGAACAAGCTCATTTTGCATATCAAATTGCACCCCCCCCCAATACTTTCATAATAGCTGTTTTGGTAAAAAGGTGAATACACAAATCACAAAAACGATAGCACAACGTTGATGTGAATCATGAGATCTGCATACACGATTAGCTATTGCTCAAGTGAACATTTAACTTACTATTTAGAAATACAAAATTAAACAGCATTGTCTGTGACCGTTTTTTTACCATTGCATTTTCCCCAGTCAATGTCATTTTCAGTGACATTGACACGACCAAAATTAATAGGTTTTTATTTGTAAAGTCCAGGGCTCTTTTTGTAGAAAAAGCCCAGCAGGAACTCATTAGCATAATAGGCCACACCCAACAGCAGGAACTCATTAGCATATTGGGCCACACCCCTGACAGCACAGCTCATTAGCACATTAGGCCACACACCCCGTGGTACCAGAAGTGTGGTTATCCAGCCACACCCACCTTTTGCTTGTTATTCTGTTTACCTTGTTTGTTTTCAAATCCCAGGGCTTTTTTGTAGCAGGAACTCATTTGTATGTTAGGCCACACACCCCTAATGTAGCCAATCCTAATGAGTTTCTGCTGTTGGTTGTCGCCTATTATGCTAATGAGTTCCTGCTGGGCGTGGCCAACTTGGGAACCAGCCGGAAGCAGGCGCTCTTGCCTCACTTGCCCTGCCCTTGCCACAGCTCTAGTTGCGGATGTGAACACCGAGGCCTTTGCCATGGGATGTTTCATGGGGTTTCCCCTTGTGCTTTCCTCTTGCATTCAGCATCTTCCCTATCCCTTGCTTCTTGACATTTAAAAAAAAAATTGTATGAGGACTTTTACTACAGTGGCAGGTGTGACTGAAAGAAGATGGCACCCGATGTGGGTGGGGAGTTGCAGAGATCCACACCTTCCCACCCACACTTTCCCTAAGCACACTTTGGGTATGGTCTTGCAGGAAGGATTGTACCAAAGTCGGTCTTAGGAAGCACATGGCGAAGCAGGGGGTAACCCTGAAGGTGGATGGTTGCCCCGCAACGTCGTGGAGAAAAGCTCCCAAAACGAACTGCTGCAGTTTGATGTCGGTGGGGATGCATAGAGGAAAACTTCCATGTGGAAGCAACCTCTGCTTTCCGGGATGCCAGCCTCCAGGTGGGACCTGGGGATCCCCTGGAATTGCAGCTCAGCTACAGATTACAGAGATCAGATCCCCTGGAGAAAATGGATGCTCTGGAGGGTGGGCTGTGCCCCACTGAAGTCCCTGTCCTCCCTGGGCTCCATCCCCAAATCTCCAGGACTTTCCCAACCTGGATCTGGCAACCTTACCCTTCCCCATCCCCTGTTGGTGGCCCGGGTGGCCTAGCAACCCTCGTTTCCACTGATTCCTAGATTATTTGTTAGGTTAGACAGGACCGAAAAAGATTATATTTCTTAAACTCTTGATTCACTGCTGAACTTTGGATAAGAGTCAGGGAGAGATCCTTGGCCCTTCTGTGCTGGGGGGACAGAGCTTAAGGTCTAGTCTGCATATCCCTTCTTGATCTTGCAAACCCCCCCCCAGTCCTTCTCCCAGTCCTTTACATCCCCAAATGGGGGCCTTAAATGCTTGCCAGCTTCTTTCACCATGAGGCTTGATTTGATTAAAAGATTTATAGACCACACTTTCACTCTACGCCCTCCCAAAATAGTTTACAACATAAGTTAATCATCAGCCTGGTTAAAATATATCTCCCCCCGCAAACACACAGTCTCAGAAATAAGCAGGTCAGTCAGAGGTCATTTTGGGGGGGATCGCAGTTCCCCTGGGTGAGGTACGGGGGGCAGGGCACGTGACGAAGCCCCGCCCCCTGCTTCCGGCCGCCCCGCTTCCGGCCCTCATTCAGCCAGGAGGAGGCAGGAGAAGAGGGAGGGTAAGTTGCTTCCTCCCTGCCTCTCCCCACCCCTGCCTGCCTGGGGCCAGGGAGGGCCTTCACGGGGCTTCCTTGCACTCCCGCCGGCCTTGCAGGTCCACAGCCGGGCCCCTCATGGGCGGCCGGGACCGTTGGGGGCAGGGGTGGTGGTGGCCTTATGACACATTTCCGGTGATGTCGGTGTGTGGCCTTATGACACACTTCCGGTGATGTCAGGGGGTGTGGCCTTATGACACACTTCTGGTGATGTCAGGGGGTGTGGCATATGCTAATGAGTTATGCTAATGAGTTCCCCTAGCTCTTTTTCTACGAAACGACCCCTGAGGTCAGTTGTTTATAGCCATGTTGGCCCAAAAACAAAGTCCCCAAAGCCAAGAACACAATCCGTGGAGTCCCTCTTATCAGGATGGATCCAGTGACTCATCACTCCACGCACCCGACAAGCTCAGCAGATGGTGAACGTGTCCTGGTGAGCTCGAAAACTTGCCCTGCTATGTGACATTGAATTGCTTCTTCCACACAGGAACTTTGTGGACACCGGAACCTTAAAAGTAAAAAAAAAAGTCAAGAGGACAGGAGAAGCATCCCAGGATGCTAGAACTGCCAGTCCTGGGTTGGGAAATTCCAGGAGATTTGGGAGCAAAGCCTGGGGATCCTGGGATTTGGGGTGGGGAGTGGAGGAAGCTCAGCTGGGATGTTATCACCATAGACTCAGACCTCCAAAGCTGCCAGTTCTTCCCCGGGGAAGAACTCTGTAGCCTAGAGATCGGTTGTCATCTGAGAGAACTCCAGGCCCTAGCTGGAGGATGGCAACCCTGACCCCCTCAT